ATGTTATACAGCTCTTATTTAAACAGTTTTTATGAACAACTGGGCAAGTTACAGTTATTATTCTACACTTTTTAGTTCTACTCATGAATATTCATGAACATTTGATAGATGGAAACAAATAATCACCTTAAATCTGAGCTTGTTAAGAAAAAATTGGAAAGTTTATAGAATGATAAGTCTTCTGGGCCAGATTACATTTCCCCAAGGGTTTTGGAGAAAATTAAGGATTGGATATGTGAACCACTTGGTACTATCCTTTGTAAGTCTTTCGACAATGGGCAGGTGTCAGAAGATTGGAAGTTGGTTAATATTATTCCTCTTTTCAATGAAGGTGATTAAAATTGTTCAGGTAGTTACAGGTTAATTAATCTTACATCAGTAGTTGGAAAAGATTTTAAAAGTCTACAGCAACCTGACATCCTGGTTTTTCCCGAGGCAGTCACATTTTTTTACAGCTTGTCCCAGTGTCCTGAGAAAGGTTCTCAAGATGCACAAAACATCCCAGTTTTATGATAAAGACATCAAACTGTCAGTCACATCAAATCACGATTGTAATAGGCCTACTTGACTTGCTCATTGTTGTAACATGAACTCTTCTGCTGCCAAAGTCCCTTGAAAGTTCTGTCTGTACATGGTTAGAAATCCTGCTCTGCACAAGTCTGAATGTGAAAACAGTTAAGGCAAACCTCATTGTAAAAACACACTACACAGTCATGTACTGAATTTTATGGATATTTGATGGCAAAAAACAACAACTACATTTCATTCATTCTTCATCAAAATATCTCTAAAACGTTTCAAAGTAACGCTAAAGCTTAAAAGCATTATGTTTGAAAATATTATGGATTCTTAAATATGTCCAGGTATGGGTTACTGCTTACGTAGATGAGGTTAAGGACACAGACTTGGTATATCTGGATTTTCAGAAAGCATTTATCTCTGTAGGTGTGGGGAATAGAAAAATAGCCGTATGGGAAAAAAGCAGAGAATTGTTATAAATGGAGTTCTGTCAATCTCAATTAATTGTCACAAGTGGGGGTACTTCAGGGCTCAATGTTAGGCCCTTTGCTGTTTGTTTTATTTACATAGATGTAGGATGGGTCAATAAATTAGTTAAATTTGCTGATGATATTGTTGTAGCACAGTTCTTTCATTATAGTACTCAGTCTAGTCCAAGTAAACTATAATGAATTACTTTATTTCCTCCTTTAACATTTCTGCAAGATTGAACAATTGTACACTGTCATAAGTTGTTGTAGGCCTTTGTCGTAAATAGTTATCTAATGCAAAACAAATCAACTTACTTGTACAAATTAACTTGATAAGCACAATAGATAACACAGATTCAAATATTTCACAAAAACACACTGATTGATTTAACTGCCTATCTTGAAATAAATATATTGCCTTCACTATCTTTTAACTAATTCATATTTATAATCTAGCTTTGAATATGTGAGAAAAACCTGATGTCAATTTTGAATTTTCTGGGCATTCTATGCTCTCTAGATAACAAATACATTACAGCATTAAAAGTATAACTTACAACAATATTATGTGCTTGGATGTTGCTGATTGTGAGGAGGAGGAAGCTACTTTACAAAAGAAATTAGATTATTTGGTAGGTTTGGCAAAGGGCTTTTAATTATAAAAAATGTAAAGTAATGTGTGTGGGTTACCATAATTTAAATTATGAGTATAACTTTTACTGGAATAACCTTAACAGTGTTATTCAAGAAAATAATCTTGTTGTGTTGGTGGATCAATCTCTTAAATATCCAAGCAGTGTGCCTTTACTAGAAGTAGGGCAAACATGATTTTAGGTTGTATTATCAAAAACACTGGATGCAAATCTAAAGAAGTGATAATTTCTTTGTATAGATTTCTGGTTAGGCCACATTTGGGGTCCTATGTACCTTATGAAGGACACTGAATTGTTGAAACATGTTCACATGAAGGCTATTAGGATCTGGGATGGAAAGATTGTTATATAATGGGCAGGTTAAGATCTCTAAAAATGTTTTCTCTTGAAGAAAGATGAGTTAGAGGGGATCTATATGAGGTGTTGATGCATCATCTTTTTTTCATAATGAACAATAAGAATGGTTAGATTAGGGGACAAAAATATAAATTTCAACAAGGTATGAGTCATTTTCAGCAAAGACAGCTTTATTTTTTTAACAGAGTGATTGGCTTTTCGAATAAGTTGTCTTTAGATGTGCTTGAACTGTTAAAGCAGTACATACAATATTTTCCATGTATATGTTTTCAACTCAAACACAGAAGTTACTATAGTAGCTAAAAACTTATTTTTCCAAAGTACACTTACTAGCCCATCTAGAATATAATAATAGCCTATCACTTTAATGGTTCTTGGGTTTTTCTCAATGATAATAACAAGCACTGTAAGTTCTGCGTTTGAGTTTAAAACATGTACATGTAAAACATTTTATGTTATTAATTCACAGTAGTTTAATATTTTGATTAACAACCATGCTAAAGTGATGGGCTGAGATGAACATCATTTTGCCACCTTACTAAATGTGTTGCCAGAAATTAATCCAACAAATAGTTTGGTGCCATTTTGATGCTGATCGTGACCTATAGGCTATAGATATTAATCAGAATTTATTTACGTAAGATTTACTATTACACTATTATCTTACTTATGTTGTTTTATTATCAAAACTAATTAAGTGTTAACATTAATAGTAGTAGTAGTAGTAGGCCTATTAACAGTATTATTAGTACTGAATTTTTAACTAAAGTTTAAACCACAGCACGCGCAAAGATGAAACTAAAACAGTTGTATCACAATTCATAACTTCTGAAATACCTCTATCCAATCTAAACTAAGTCGATTCCAGAAATAGAACTAGATCTACCGAATAGTTTAACTTAAGTTATTAATGGGTAGCATTAAGTAAATATCATATTCCTAGTTAGAATTAAATTTGTCATACCTACATTTCATTTACGTTACATTGTAATAATTTATATGTTTCAATTTATAATATAAATTACCATTGTCACTGTTGTTACCTCGGGTTTTATTTTTCTAAGACTAAAGTTACGGAGTTTATATTTCATTACAATTATACTTAAAATAACTTTATTTCTCTGTAATAAAGTATTTTTTTAAATACACTTACCTATTTTTATCGCTTGGTTTTATCACGAAGTTGAGGTACTTGTTTTTCGTTTGTTTTTACGTAGATCATACTCATACGATAATACATCATAAATAGTCATATTTATATTTTTTAGTGAATTGTATTACCGTATGGTGATGTTCTTACCATTCACAACCGGTGAGATCCACATATTGCAAAATATTGAGTTTTCGCGTCCTGAAACGCTCAGTGAAAATAAATAAAAAAAGTTAGAAAACGATCATTTTATGCGTAAAATACTCATGTAACTCCAGCAATAACTAACACCATTAATTGCAATATTAATTATATTTTTCATGGGGCCCATATTTGAATATGTGCCCTATAGCCAACAAATAATTTATCCACAAACAGTATATAAAAGTGATTTTAAAATGTCAATGGTGTCCATATGGTATTCATTTGTAATTTTATTCAACGAGGTTAACTTTTGTTAATACGCTCAAAAAGTAAGATCAAATATCTTAACATTTTTTTGCAGATTGTTACCATAAAAAGTTCTGTCAATTTTAAGAAAGTGTAATTCATTATTATTATTTTTACCTGTTTTTATGTAATTATCCAATTATTCCATAAAGAAATTTTTAGCAGAAAGTTTTATTTGTATACGGTGGCGCTATTTTTTAAAACCTCTATAAAATATCACAATGTTAATTTACACTTCTGATGAAAGTCATATCCTGATATAGTTTGTTTGAAATGTGTAATACGACTAGTACTAGGTATGCTCATATATATTTATGTTTTTATAAAAATATTTTGTTATTTGAATTTAACGTAACATCGGCCTACTGACAAAAAGGAACCATTTGGTTTTCTACTTGGACTGTCCTTTTCACACACACCTTGAAGTTGAAGTCTGACTCCGTTTGAGCTTCACAAAAAGTTGAAATACGTAAAACTTAATTAAACTTTAATGTTAAAGTTAAACTCATCCTTCATTTCACAGAAGATTAGTGATGCCACTTTTAAACTTTTGTACATTATCGGCTTCCACTACTGGCGACGGCAAGTCATCCCATAAATCATTTAAATGATCCATCCATTTACTAAAAGTAAAAGTTTTAGAATAAGTCAATATCGTTTTTTAGTTAATGAAACCAAAACTGTATATGTATTCCAAATGAGACCTAACTAGTTATTTGTATAAAGAAATAACAAAATTTTTTGTAATCATTGTGTCTATAAATACACCCTAAAGTTAAAGTACTAATAGATTTACTACTAGCAACAGAACAATGAATTGAGTGACTTAGTTACTGTTATACCAAAAACTTTTTCTTCATATGCACTATTGAATAGGTTTCCATCTATATTAAATATATTATTCAAACTGTGATAACCCAAATGTAATTAAAGGTCATTTGATAAACATACCAGTTGATCTAAGACATGTTCTAGTACCTTAACAATCTCAGTATGACAAAAATACATAAGAGTTTAACGTTATCGATGAACTTTAATAATTTACTAATTATAGCTCCATCAATATTATTAAGGTAAATAAGAAAAAACTTCACTAATAATAGATCTAGTCTCATAGCCTCAAAATTACTTTCTGAAATGTTATTTATTTTTCACTTAACATGTAGCAAAATATCAAACCTAATTATGTGATGATCATTCTTTCCCACATACTCACCCATTTCTACTTTTGCAATCATATTCTTATCATTGGTTAACAAAATCTAATATTGCATTCCTCTGGTTGGTTCTCTGACCATTTAATAGAGTTGGACAATTAGTGGAATTTGATAATCCATTAATCATTGGAGTCATTAATCGATTATTCTCACAATATGGCTAAAAAAATAGTAATGCTACAAATCATACCCATGGTGTGTTGAATACAGATAGCCCATTGTGTAGCTTTCTGCTTAAACAAACAACAACAAAACATAATGGCAGTGTTTCAGTTACACTTGGAATAATGACAAAATAGTGATAATTAGAACTTCTAGTTTTGATTATCTTTGTGAATCATTACATTAATTGATTAAGAGCTGAAAAAACTTGAATTATTGACAAATATACTAATGAAAAATCATAATTTCAGTATTTTGATTACTGGATAGTTGGAATAATCAAAAACCAATTTCAATTAATCAATTATTTTGCTTGTATTAATTGATTTAATTGTACTTTTGATTACTCACTTATTTTACATGACATTAATTAATATAGTTGATGCTTGTAGGTAATAGAGTTAATCACCCAGCTCTACTATTTGATTTAGAAACCATCCTGATTCACTTGAAAAACCTTTATTACTCATTATTTGACTCCATAAAACCCAAAACAGCGTGTCTAAAATTAGATTATCTCATAATTCATTCATTGATATTCTTAATAGTAGCAACCCTGATTTCATTGTGAAATTTCTCATTCACATCATTTGCCTGAACAAGTGACCTATAACAACAATTGCTATTTAAAAACGTTGTCCATGGATCCCCTGAATGTAACCCTGGGTATGGATTCATCGTGACAATAATTTTTTAAGTCTTCATTCCCATTCATGTA